GTGTGCCATGACCCAGAATCATTGTTGTTAGTGTCCCAACAGGTCCCATGTGCCCAGCACCAGATGACCTTCCCAGGCAGGGGCCAGGGAGGGACTTTTAGCCCCAGCCCTGCCCCTTCACTGTCCTGCCCTGCAGAGTCTCTTCCACCCCCACTGACCCCTGTGTGTCCTCAAGGGGAACACAGGCTCCTCGGGGGTTGACCTTTGACCCTTATCCCTAGAGCACCCATCACTGGATGTGCCACAAGGCCCAGGGAACATCGGAATCAAGCTGTCCCTCTGTTGTCAGCAGACCCTGTGAGAGACGGGCCGAAGGACCTGCCTGAGGTCACGGCTGGGGGTCTCGAATCAGACCCACCTTCCAGACCAGCTGACTCTGACCCCCGTGCTTCCTCCCATGAGAAAGGAAGAGGGGAGAGGTTGACCCTCCAGCCTCCCCCAGCCAGTCCCCTCACAGCACAGACTGCCAGGAGGCGGCGTCCCGGGTGCTTAATGACAGGTTTGTGCAGCGCCAGCCGCGAGCAGGTGCAGGCACCGCCAACAATGGAGCAATTTTGGTAATGACAGGAGGCCTGGCGGGCGCCCGCCGCTTCCTGCCCACAGGGGCTCGGGCGGCTGAGCCTCAGGCAGGCAAGCAGGGAGGGCCACTGCCCACACGGGGTCGAGGCAGATCCACTCCAGACATCGTCCACTCCAGAGACATCGGCCCCTTACTCAGGGGAGATGACCTAGGCCAGGACCCCTGCCTGGCTCCTGAGACCTTCTGGGATGGGAGGGGCCGGGATGCTGGGATTCTAGCCCCAGCCCTGATGCCATCCCCAACCCCCAGGCCTCAGTTTCCCTTCCAGTCACACTTTCTGCCTGACTTGGGAAATTGAGCGTTGAGACTTCAGTCCGCCCTGCCCACTCCTGCCTTCTCTCCCCGGATCTCTGCTCATCGTGGGCAGAATGCGGCCAGGCTGCTTTTCCAGCACAGCAGAGAGCATGCAGTGGGCACTCAATAAGAGTGTTCCGTGTTGAGATCAGCAGAGCTGAGGTCTGGTTCTGCGGCTTGTGGAATCCTTCCCAAATACCCCTCTGCTCTCCCTCCTAGGGTGGGCGGCCCTCTCTGCTGCCGTGCACAGAGATGCCCCCTGGACAGCACGGTCCCAAGGAGCCCAGCTGACCCCACTGTCCCTGTGGTGTGCAGCACACAGGAGACACTCGGGGAGAGCAGATGGGTGGGAAGAGTGAGGGCTCTGAGTCAGGCATGGCCTCCAGTCCTGGCCGCCTGACTGCTGAATGTGGGACATGGGGGAGTCGCCAGCCCCCCCACAGTCCTCACATCTGTGCCTCTGGGGTGGCTTCTGGTGGCAGGGTGCTCTGCCTGGGCCTGGCACCTGGGGCCTCCGGTGACTGCCGGGGGTTCTTCACACCTCCAGGCTTACTGGGGTGAGCTGAGGGACAGAGAGGCAGTGGCCAGACAACCAGGTGGCCCCACATCACTGGGCTCCAGAAACTATGCCTGGAACCCCAGCCATCCCCTCATCATGGCCCTGGGCCCCAGGAATTTGGCCTTTGCAGCAGAATGGGAGTGGAGATGCCAGCTGGGCGGCCTGAGAGTCAGGGTCTTCATTTCAGGTTGGGAAGGCCTCTCCCCAGCACGTGCCCAGATCTCATCCCCAGGTCATCCCCAAAGCCAGCCAGCACTAGGTAGGTGAGGATGCTGAACACGCAGCCAGTGCCAGCCTCTGAGGGCCCACCAGGAGGCCCCTGTGGGCCTGAGCCCTATTCCTTGAGGGATGACCCAGTCTGGCTGCAGCCTGGCTCCTGCCCCAGGAGGCCCAAGGGCGGCCCCGCTGGGTGGCCAGGCTGCCTGAGAGCACCAGGGCAGCATCACACCCATGGCACACTCTGGTCCTCAGGGCTTGTGGCACATTGTCGGTCCCCTCCCAGCAGTGTAAGCTGGCATCTGCTCTGCTGCCCATGCAGCCCTGGCACCTACCACCACGCCTGGCACACAGTAGGTATTCAGTGAACAACAGCTGTCATGGGCAGACACAGGCCTGGCGCTCTCCCGTTGCTGATCCAGCCACCAGGCCTGCACTCTGTCTGCTGCAAGCGCCCGGTGGGCCTGGCCAGCGTCTTTCTTCTCTCCTCCTCCATCCCACAGGAGCTCAGGAGCAGCGGTTGCCAGAGATTGAAGGCAAAATTGCCTGAAAGCCTGTGCTTTTATCCTCCAATTTGTAGCCATTTAGCAGGACTGGGCGGAGGTGCCGTGGGCTGGGTGCTGTCGGCACAGAAGTGCCCACCGCTGCGGAGATCGGGCTCTTTGTCCTTCCCCGGACAGCCCGGGACATGGGACTGGTACTGTATGGGGCCAGGCTGGGCAGCGTGGGCCACAGGGGAGGCCCAGGGCTGGGTGCTGGAGGGGCCTCCAGAGATGGATGGGTGCCCAGCTCTGAAGGGACATCGGCCGTCAGTGCACTGCTCTGCTTGGGAGGTGCCCAGCCCCCAGGGGCTGTGCGGGGGTGTTCACAGGCAGTACAGGAATGACAGGGAGCCCAGTGTCCCTGGCTCACCCCTCCCCTGGCCATCAAAGAGGGGCTTGCACAGTTCTGCCCAAGAACAGGGTCCTGCCTCTGTCAGGGGATCCCTGGGGCGCTGGGAGGTGGGTCAGAATCGGAGAGAGAGAAGGAGGGGTGGGGGTGAGCTTCAGATGTGGGGGAGGTGAAATGGGACCACTGTGGCCAAGGAGGCTGTGGGGCAACGGCTCATCGTTGCCCTCTTTGGCAGGGCTGAGGTCCAATTGCTGGAAAGGGGCTTTGGAGTTGGCGCATCTCCTGCCCGTGTGACACCTGGACCTGGGACAGTGGCGGGAGTCGGCAAGGGCCCTACCTTGGGAGGACACGGGAGCAGGCGCACCACTGCACAGCTGCGCTGGCGGGTGAAAGTGGGGTCCCAGGAGGCGGCCCCAGGCTGGGAGGCACTGGAGAGGAGCTGGTGCCTGGCCCACCCAGCCTGCATGTCACCTGGGCTGGGCTTGTCAGGATTTCCAAGTGGCCTCTGAGTCCCTGGGGAGGGAACTCAGATGGGGATGGACAGCTGCCTGCAGGGCTGAGGCTCCCAATGGGTTTGTCCTGCCCGCCTCTGTCTTCTTCCCAGTGGCCCCATCCAGTGGCACCCTTTGTCCCACCTCCAAGTGTTTGCCCAGGACGGCTCCTTTTCCAAGACGCCCTCTCCTCCCAGCTCACCCTCCTCCAGGACACCCTGCTCCCTCTCACCCTTCTCCAAGATGCCCTCCTCTCCTATCTCCTCTAAGATGCCCTTCCCCCCACTCATCTTCCTCCAAGATACCCTCTCCCCTCCCAACTCACCCCCTTCCAAGATGTCCTCCCCCCTCACTGCCTCACTCCTCTAAGATGTCACCCCCCTCCTGCCTCCTCCAAGATACCCTCCGCTCCCAGCTCACCCTCCTCCAAGAAGCCCTTCCCTTCTGTCTCCAAGACATCCCACCCTCCACTCATCCTTCAAGAAAGCCTCCTCCTGCACCCCTTCCAAGATGCCCTCCCCTCCTGTCTCCTCCAAGACACCTTCCCCCCCAGCTCACCCCTCTCCTAGACTCCCTCCCAGCCTGTCTCCTCCAAGTGCCCTCCCCTCCCAGCTCACCCCCCTCCAAGACTCCCTCCCCCTCAGCTCATCCCCCTCCAAAATGCCCTCCCCTCCTATCTCCTCCATGGTGCCCTCCCCTCCCAGCTTTCCCTCCTCCAAGATGCCTTCCCCCCCAGCTCATCCCCTTCCAGCTCACCCTTCTCCAAGACACCCTCCCTGAGGCCCTGTGGCCCATGGGGCTGCAGCTCTGCCCCACAGGTGGAAGATCCAGGCCATGAGAAGTCATGGCTCTTGGCCAGGAGCCCCCATCCTGGGACCGGAAGGCTGCATCGGGGTCATGCATCTGTGTTCTGCAGGCTGTCTCCTCATCCAGGAACCTGAGTGTGAACCCAGCCGAGCACACGTCCCCTCCCAGGATGAACCCCGTGTGGCCAGCCCACCTTCTCTCCCCGCAGCAGCCCCCCCACCTTGAGAGATCATGCCCATCACTCGGGAGCTTCCCAGGGTCTCCTATCAAAGCACAGGGGCTCAATCACCCCCACAAAGTCCTCAGAAATCAGCACCAATAGAAAAATACACTTTATTGTGACCTCACGGTGTGCAGGGCAGCGCAGCGGGCATGAGCAGCAGGGCATGCAGAGCCTGGTGGGTGTACAGGATGCAACAAAGCGGCCCCTCCCCGGACATCTCCCGAAGGGCCCTATGAGCCCTGCGGCCCTTGGGCACAACCAGTCCCCAGCCCAACAGCCCCAGCAGTTCCAGCTGAGTGGCCGGGCAGACTTGGGTCTGGCGGGCAGAGCGGGTGGGAGCCACAGGCGGCCAGTAGCCCGGGGGCGGGGCGGGCCGAGGCAGCTGGCAGGCTCAGCCGGAAGCCGTGCAGGGAGGAGGGCGTGGGAGCCCACACCTGCCAATCCAGCCCCAGCGCCTCAGCAATTTTGTCTCTCTTGATTAAACATCCAAGGAACATCAAGTTCACAGACGTGTTTTCTTCATCTTCATCCTCCTGAAAACACCCAGCATGGAAAAGCAGAGAACAGCTTTGAGATTCCTCCGGCCCCGGATGCTTTTGGGGACAGAGAGAGTTGGAAGGTTGAGGGACAAAGGGGCCAGGCCCGAGGCTTCAGCAAGAGACAGGTGGCAGCGAAGGCAGCAGAGGCAGCGTCCCGGGCTTGTCCGGGAGAGGGACGTGTGCAGTTGTGTGCAGGCATGTGCAGCATGGTGTGCAGCTGTGTGCAGGCATGTGCAGGACGGTGTGCAGCTGTGTGCAGGTGTGTGCAGGCATGTGTAAGAAGGTGTGCAGCTGTGTGCAGGTGTATGGGCCATGTGCAGGTGTTTGGAGCTGTGTGTGGCTGTGTGCAGGTGCATATAAGAAGGTGTGCAGGTGTTTGCAGCTGTGTGCAGATGTGTGGGTGTGTGCAGCTGTGTGCGAGTGTGCACAGGTGTATACAGCTGTGTGCAGGTGTGAGCAGATATGTGCAGCTGTATATAGGAAGGTGTGTGGGTGTTCACAGCTGTGTGTGGCTGTGTGTAGGTATGTATAGGAAGGTGTGCAGGTATTTGCAGCTGTGTGAAGCCATGTACAGGTTGTGTGGGTGTGTGCAGCAACTAGCTGTGTGTGACTGTGTGCAGGTGTGCACAGATGTGTGCAGATGTGTGCGGCTGTGTGCACGAGCAGAAGCAGTGACTGGGTCAGGAGCCAGAGCACACACTGAGTGTCTGCTATGGAGAAACATCAACCACTGACTGCAAACAGCAGACACCACCAGTTGCTGCACTGTCCAGGACAGTGGACAGCACAGCCAGGACCCCGGATTATCCGAACTGGGTGGAGCCAGGATGCAGGGGCAGGGCCAGCCACCCAGCTCCAGGCCAGCCAGCAAGGGCCCCTCCAGGCAAGCAAGCCTTCTTCATGGCAGGGCAGATGGTCTGAGAGAGGCCGGCCTGGCAATTGGGGAGGGCCACAGACAAGGCAGGCCCACCTGCAGGACAAGCTGGGTAGGACATGGCTGTGGTGCTCACTTCCAGCACTGCTCCAGGGAGCTGTGGGGTTGGATCTTGAGCCGCTGGGGGCAGAGCAGCTTGGTGAAGGCCCGTCGGAAGCTGTGGTGGCACAGTGGATAGAGGATGGGGTTGACAGCCGAGTTGGCCCACAACAGCCAGAAGGACGTCTCGTACCAGTAGTCAGGCACGCAGTGGCCATGGCAGGCGGCCCGGATGATCATCAGCAGCGTGTATGGGGCCCAGCAGAGCCCGAAGATGCTCACGATGACGGCCAGTGACTTGGCCACCTTCTTGTCCCTTGACAGCCGGAAGCGCTGGGTGAAGCTTTGGGACACCATCTTCATGCGCTTCTCCAGCGATGCCGAGGATGCCGATGGCTTAGAGCCCCGCTTAAGCGAGCGTGGTCTCTCGGCACCCCGTGATGAGCTGCCAGAGCTGGAGGTGGGCGAGGCTGCAGCACCCACCCCTGTGCCAACCGTAAGGGCCGCCTCCCCGGCCTCTGTGCCCGGGGCTGCATCGCCTACCCCATACCTGTGCAGAGGCATGGCCTCCCCATGGCCCCTCCGCCAGCAGCCCCAACAGCCAGGTGGCGGCGGTGGCGGAGGTGGTGTTGGCGAGGGTTGGGCCTCTGGTGGATGCTCGGGGCCAGTGTCGCGGACCCCGTCTAGCCGCAGGCGCGTGCGTCTCTGGATGTTCAGGTAGATGCTGAGATTGAAGAAGGTGACACTAAGAAAGGGTGTGAAAAACTCCAGTGTGGAGGCCGTGATGAGGAAGTACCAGTTGTAGAAGAACTCAGCATAGCAGTGACCCTCGGGGATGGAGCTGCCCCCGGACAAGTACTCCCAGCTCAGGATGGCCGGCCCATACAGCAGAAAGGCCAGCACCCACACCAGCAGCATCTTGCGCACTGCCCTCCGCGTGTCGCCCTGCTGGGCCCGGTATGAGACCTGTGGGGACAGGTCGGTCAGGAAGCGCTGGGTGGCCAGGAGGGCAGGGATATTGGACCCAGATCTCCGGCAGCCTCCAGAGCTCTGCGTACACCCTTCCTCCACAGCAATGCTCCTCCCTCTTCTGCCTCCCTCCCTCCTTCCCGGTCCAAGGCTCGTGGCCAGGACCAGCACCACACCCAGCCTTGGCCACAGACCATGTGCAAACACAGCTATTTCTGACACGATGAGCCTCACAAGGGCCTGCACTGTCTCTAGAGGATCAAGCCTCATCCCTGCACAGGTGCTCACACCCTTGGATGCTGGAGGTCAAGGGTGAAACCATGTGTCAGCCCATTGCTGGGAGACAGCCCCTCCAGAACAAAGCACCCAAATCTACATCAGAACTGCTGAGGGAGAGTTAGGAAGAGGCCAGCCCACAGGTCCACCCATGGGCATAGCGGCCAGCACTGGCCAGGGTGGCAGGAGAGGACTTGGGTGGGACAGCCCTGGGAAGAGAAGGTCCTGGGTGCCCCCCACGGTCCTCCCACCAGTCTGAGGCTTTGCCTTGCCCAGGACAGAGCCATGTTCAGATCCAAAGATCAGCAGAGGTGGCCGAGCCCCTGCGTGGGCCAGGCCTGGGTCATGTGGCCTCTCACCTGACCTCCGCAACTGTTCTGCAGCCCACTCCTGGCAGATAGAGGAGGAGAAGGGAGACCACAGTGCCGAGCTCAAGAGGACCCCAGACCCAGGCTTGTGGCACTCTGTCCCTTGGCCTTCTCAGACCAGAATGAAACATGCCACACCCTTGCATACATCGAGCCCTGGCATGAGTGGGTCACTGAGGAGATGTGAGGTCAGAGGAGTGGAGTCCCAGGTCCATGTGGCTCTGACACAGGGTACCTAGTGGGTCCCTGATGCTTGGTGACTTCTCACATGATGGGGAATGCTGTGCAGGAGCTATGCATGCTTGCCCCAAGCCTGTGTGTGCGTGTGTGTGTGTGTACATGCTCACACACATGCATGAGGACGTCTGGCCCCAGATCTTCCTCAACTCCAGGCACTTTGTGCCTGCCCCAGTGACACCTCTGCCCTCAGGAATGTTGATTCCCAGTTCCAGACTCCCCACCTCCTGCCCATGCCAGGATGGTCCTGCTGGCAGTAAAAGGCCACATGCTGAAGCAGGACCCATGGGACCAAGCCCACCGGGACCCACCCCCTGCTCAGAAGTGGCCATTGCCCCACCCCCACCCCAGGCAAGTGTGGCCGGGTCCCAGGACTCACAGCGCGGGTGACTGACAGGAAGCGGTCATAGCTGATGAGCACGATGTTGAACACTGAGGACGTGCACAGCAGGTAGTCCACCACCAGCCACAGCTTGCAGAGGCCTCGGCCGAAGGTCCAGCGGCCGGTCAGCACATAGGGCACATACAGCGGGATGCAGAAGGCACCTGTAGGAGCATGGCCGGATGAGGCCAGGCTCAGACCAGCTGCAGCTGAGAACTGGGCAGACCCTGGGGTTCCACGGTGGCCGCCTTTCTGGGACTGGCCACCCTCATCCCTACTCCCCCTCCTATCCACAAACTGCCAAATGTTGCCACCCCCACACCATCCCTGCTCCTGGCCGCACTGGCATGCCCTGAACTTGGGGCAGGGGTAGATCCGGGTTTGCGGGCCTCTGGGCACCAGACACTGAGTGCCTGGAGTTGGGACCAGGATTTCTGTCCAGCGCTCCCAGACCGCAAGAGAAGGAAGGAAATCTTCCTGCCCCCATGCTGGACCCAGACCCCAGTCCCATGCTCCCACCACCACCCCTCCCCGGGCTGTAGGACCCCCCTCCCTCTCAGCTAAGAAGCTGCAGCCCCGCCAGC